GTCATAGCTTTTGTTTGGGTGAAGTTAGATCTGAGTTTGCGAAATGAAATGCTCTGTGTCTTATTTGGGTTTTGTTGGGGTTCTCTTTCAGTGAGTGATGGGCCGTGTCTTGGCTCTCCTCTTTCACCGAACCAAACACGTAAAAATATATATATATATATATATATAATTAATGGCCCAACTCAGCGTTTGTGGGAGAAAAACTTCCCTGTGCCAAGCATATCAACCCAATCATATACTGACAGCTGGCAACCAATTTTGAAAAATATTTCTGCACCCATGTTGTTGAGTTTTTATCAAAAATAGCCAAAATTTAACCACCAAATTCATAAATGTCAGTTTTTTAAAATGCTTTCAAATATAGCCAAAAACTCACTTAAATTGACCCAATTGCCTTCTAAATTATAACTCAATTACACCTAAAAGCTAAAACCCAAAATTACAGGAGCATAAAAACAAGATTGGCTTCGTCAACTTAATCATGCCTATGAATCCTATTATAAAAATGATAATGTAATTACCAAAAAGAAGAAGAAAAGTAACAGCCGATGTTTTCATAAATCCAAGCAATAAAAATCATCTCTGCGACTATGGCTTGATTCGTGGGTTGGTAGTTTTTTACAATAAAAAAAGTTAAAAGTCAGTTTCTTGACATAATAATTTTTAATTGAGAAAAAAAGTTGAACTTTCTCGCAAAATTTGTATCATAAATACTGCTAGTCTGCATATGATATGGGGGTTAAACTTTCTTGCAAACCATCATATGTGCTGCTGCCTTCCCTCAGCACAAGAGGTCTAGAAAATTTGCAAGGCCCTCGTTGTTCATAGACTATCTTTCCACAATACAAACTTGCCTATATTAACTTTGCTTTCCATTAAGGGTGATTGGCGAGGGGCAATGTCCTTGTGTTTGAGGGTAGGCTGGGTGGAGAGTTAGGCTTGTGCTCAGTAGCTTACGGCTTGGAAGAGTATACTTTTTGGTTAGGTTTTAATTTAGAGGGCATTTCGGTCAATTTAAGTGATTTTTTGGCTATATTTGAAAGTTTTTAAAAAAACTGACATTTATGAATTTGAGGGTTAAATTTTGGCTATTTTTGATAAAAACTCCATGTTGTTCCCCTTCTTTCTATGGCATCTGCCAAAAGGGAAACATTTGATTTTGATACAACTTGAGGATCATAAAGCAACCACATATCTATACAAGCAGAAAGAAATACAATAAAGCAGGCAAGAGGGGAGCCAAAAACTGAATAGACTAAATCAGAGGGTCAGGTGTCTACCTGACTTCAAATGGGTTCAGGTGCATTTCACATAGAGGCTTAACATTCAATTGGTTTATTAAACCACCTTAGCTTAGGCCTTTACGCACTTCAAATCTGTGAAACATCCTCCATGCATATCATGTTGCTGGAAATCAACATCAGGAACATAACCTTCCTCTCTCATTTTCACCTCTAATGTTCCTAGCAATACAAAGATCTGATCAGAATCTTGGTGACGTCTATCTCCAGCTACAAAACTATGGATGTCACCCCTGACCTCAACGACACTCTGCCCGGACATCTTCTTTAACCCCTTCTCCCTTATCAAAGTTCTAAGATCCGCCACATGCTCCCATTTATTGTCCATGGCATATATATTTGAGAGCAGTATGTAATATCCTGCATGATTAGGATCTAACTGCAAAAGACTCTTTGCTGCAACCTCTCCAAGCTTGGTATTGTTATGAATCCGGCACGCACCAAGCAAGGCTCCCCAAACATGGGGCGCAGATGGGTTTGGCATACGCTCAACAATTTCCATGGCCTTGTCCAGCTCTCCTGTGCGGCCAAGAAGATCAACTATTATTCCGTAGTGCTCAGGTCCAGGCTTCAGTTGGTATTCACGCAGCATCATATTGAATATCTCGATACCTTCTTCAACCAAACCTGAATGGCTACAAGCAGATAAAACAGAGAGAAATGTTACATCATTCGGCTTAACAGCTGAGTGCTTCACCATCTTATCAAAAACTTTTAAAGCTTCTACTCCTTGTCCATGAACTCCATAACCTGCAATCATTGCACTCCAAATAACAACATCCTTGTCCTTTATCTCTTCGAATAATCGGTTAGCAATGTCTATGCTACCACATTTTGAGTATAACTCTATGAGTGAAGCTCCAACAAAGATGCTATTCTTGAAGGCCCGTTTAATCACATAAGCATGGAGGCAAAGAGCTTGTTGAAGAATCCCTAATCCTGAACAAGCTGTAAGAAGCTTAACCATAGCAACAGCATCAGGTTGAGTTTCATCTGACAACATGTTGCGAAAGACCCCCATTGACTTGTATGCCATTCCGTTTTGAGCATACCCACTTAACAATGCAGCCCAAGAAACCACATCTTTCTTGGGCATTCTTTTGAAAAGGTCAAAAGCTTCTTGAGGTGCTAAGCACTTCATGTACATATCAATCAGAGCTGTAGCTAATGTGATATCTAACTCGAAACATTTCCTAGTAGCAAGTTCATGGATCTTCTTACCCTCTTCTAAATTACCTGCCACTGCACATGCTTGTAATGCATTAACCACAGTTACTGAATTAGGTTCAATTCCCCTATTGATCATTTCATTGAAAAGATTTAATGCTTCTAGTATAGCCCCATTGTGAGTGTAACAGGCAATCATGGAGCTCCAAGAAATAACATCTTTTTCTGGCATTTTCCCGAACAAGCTAGCTGCAGTCTTGACAGAACCTGTCTTTGCGTACAGATTCAGCAATGAATTAACTAAAGATAAATCAGAGTTGAATCCGTTCCTAATAGCAACACCATGTACACAACTTCCAAGTCTAAAATTTGATAACTGAGCACAAGCAGAAACAGCACTAACAAGGGTCACTCGGTCAGGATCAACGCGCCCCACCATCACCATTCGGGAAAAAAATTCCAACGCTTCTTCAGGATTGCCATTCTGCTCATATCCAGTAACCATAGAAGTCCACAAAAACACATCCGGTTGAGAAAATTCTTTGAACACTTTTAGAGCGTCACTCATTTGTCCACATTTAGAATACAATTCAATCAATGCAGAACCCACAAACATGTCCAATGCAACTTTCTCATGTTTCTTTACAAACCCGTGTACTATTTTGCCATATGCAAGTGCCCTTAACGCAGTACAGGCCTTCAGAGCAATGGGTATTGTGAAATTATCAGGCTTTTCATCGTTGGCTCTTGAATCAGAGATCATATTGTGGAAGAGATATAAGGTCTCTTCCCATTGATTCTCTCTACAATGGCTTCTGAGCGTGGCGTTCCAGAGATAGACGGTTCTGTTTGGTGTTTCGTCGAACACCTTGCGGGCATGACCAAGTGACTCGTATTTAGCATACAAAGCGTTGAGTTTTGTGGCAAAGAAGCTGTCATGGGCAAGGCCAGCTTTAAGGGTCAGAGAGTGCAATTGTGCCACTGATTTCCCGCTGCTACATGCTTCAAACAGATTAACAAGCACTTCCCTCCCTTTCATACAGATAAGAAAATATACTTGCAGACCCACAAAAACTCACAATATGAAACGGTTGACGTCTGGGCTCTGCCTAAGCAATTTGCAGGCGTTGGCTTATGATGGGTCTTAAGACCCAGATCGATTTTCGCTGGTAGTCCAAGTTGTTCAGCCCATAAGTCTCAGTGGGTCTATGTCGAACCCAATGAAAGTCTTTTATTAATCTGTTACAGTGAGTCACCTATGCACGCGACGAGAGAGATGATTCTTTTTTTTGGTCGAATGGTTTATCAGCATGACATGTGCAATTGACCGTCGCACTATGCAACAATCTTTGAGACCATAAAAACACAGACGTCTCAATTTTGTTCAGTCTCAAATGGCACCTTCAACTTCAATAATTGAAGTTGGGAACTATATTCATTTTAGATAAATGCATAAAATAAATAATGGTTGATTTGATCCATTAGTGACGACACACTTAAGAATTCTTGGAATTTTTAGTTTTTTAAGTATAAGCGATTAGAGAGATTAAAGAGCTCAACGAAGTGAAATATACCTAATTGGCGAATACTTTAAATTTTCTAATTGAAACAGTTGGATCCAACTTTCTTCTAACCCTTTCAAAACACATTTTAGCTCAGTGCTTCAAGTCACAAAGAAGATCTCAATTCTTAGCCATCTATCATTCTGTGGTCAAGCTCATTGGACTTGGGCTCTCATTCTCCAGCCACCGCCCATTTTCTTATCAACAAATAGCTAGCTAGTAAAAGTAGTATTAGGCTAGAGTCTATTTAGCTATACCTGTTCTATAGTGTATTTGGTCCCAGCAATCGTCTCCAACATTGGTTGGTCATTTTCAATTGCATGCAAAGGTTGCCTACCCAAAGTTTAAAAGGTAGGCCAAAAGCTCACGTCATTTATTTTCTTTCCTTTTCTTTGTCCTTGCCCACTCGAACATGCGTCAACCCAAACCGACCTATGAAAAATCCTAATAAATCACACCTATACATATTTGTTTTGTCACAACTTAATAATATAATACTCCACCTGGCAGTGCCACGCGTTAAAATAATACACAAAACAAATAAGATAATATCAGAACCCCAAAAGTGATTTGCCTTCCTAATAAGTGGTTTGCTCCTAATAATGCTCCTCCTCCTAACTTTGGCAACCAAAAAAGCTAATGCATATAGTTTTTCAACAAAAACAAAAACTTTACGGTACGTGGCAGAATAGAGAGTGAAGGTGCACGGGGAGAAAATGTGGTGCGAAACACACGAGAACTGCGAAAAGAACTGAAAGAGATGGAAGGAAGGACCAGACACCAGAGCATCCGATGATAAAAGGCGAAGCACACTTGGTTTTCTTTGGTTGGATATCCTTCTCTTCACTCTCTTTCTCTTTTTCTTTCCCTCAGATATAAAATCATTCATTTTCGTTCATTTTATTATATCGTATCTATGGCCATGTGACATTGCAGCAGAGATTTTCTACGAACCCAACACACAGTTGGGCTTACTTCTTCTTCTGCTTCAAACTCAGAAGCCGGTAACATTCCATATAAAATAGCAATCAACGTAAGCTAACCCATCTCTTGTTACGCTTGTTCATTCTGGTTCTTCATTGTTTTTCTTGGAAAGATTTTGTCTTTCTTACATTGTTCTCTGTTCTGGTTGTCAAAGACTAATCTTGATGTATCCTTTTATTTTGGGTTTCTGTAAGAGAGAGGTTTAGGCTTAGAACGATGCCGTTGAATATAGTACATGATGGTAATGGATTTTCCCGAATCATACTCACGGAGCCAACTGGGTCTTCAGCAGAGGTTGGTTGGTTTCAATCAATTATTATGTTCTCTCTGTTTTGCTGCCCCAGCACTCGTAATTTTCCCTGTTCATTTTGGCAGATTATAGATTTGATAGCCTAAAGTTGAAATTTTTATCATTGGTCCGTGATATAGAAGTAAAAGGGGTGTCAAATTAATGAACAAGAGTATTTTAATTGGGGTGTTTATCAGATATTCTCAGTTTTCTGCAAAGTGTGATGACCAACTGTTTGATATCGAGTGGTTTGCAGGTGCTTCTGTATGGTGGGCAGGTTGTTTCGTGGAAGAACGAAAGACGAGAAGAACTGCTCTTTATGAGTAGCAAGGTACAAACAACTCAAAATTTCCTCACAAATATGTTTGTTTGAGACTGTTTCAATTTAAGGACTAAAGTAGCCCTTGTAAAAGTTAATTTCATAGTCAAAGCAACAACGCTAACCATTCCTTTTGTTCCTGTGCAGGCTATTTGGAAACCACCTAAAGCCATCAGGGGAGGCATACCTGTCTGCTTTCCACAGGTTGGACAGTGAGAAACTACTACAAGCATGTTGAGATTCTGTTCTTGTTCTGATTGAGCATTCTGTATACTGCTTCTTGCAGTTTGGAAATCTTGGTTCACTGGAGCAGCATGGATTCGCAAGGAACAGATTGTGGTCACTAGATAATGACCCCTCACCTTTGCCTCCAACTAACAATCAGTCATCAGTGGATTTGATCTTGAAGTCTGCTGAAGAGGATCTGAAGACCTGGCCACGTAGGTATGCTCTCAGAACCCTGATCATTTAATTAGATATGATTTACGCAGAAGTGCATCATCACTTCTCTAATCATGTGAATCCTTTTTCTGGTGGATTGTTTAAGCTTTGAGTTGCGGCTTCGTATTTCTCTCAGTGCTGGCAAGCTCACTTTGATTCCCCGCGTTAGAAATATGGATAGCAAGGCGTTCTCCTTTACCTTTGCTCTGAGTAACTACTTGTCTGTATCTGATATCAGGTGAGCCTTGTAAAAATAGAAGTTATTGCTTAACTACCTTTGTAGGTCTAAGATTGAATTTTGCAAGGTTCCTCAAAGTACTGTTCATCTTATAAAAAAACATACTTGTATGTTGAGTCTGTATTTTATTTTTATTAGTAGCTGAGCTTGGAAGAAATTGCATGTTATGCTTTTCAGAGAGGTTGCATGATGCTGTTTAATTTGCAGTGAAGTGCGTGTTGAGGGCTTGGAGACACTTGATTATTTCGACAATCTAGCGCGTAGAGAAAGGTTCACGGAGCAGGCAGATGCTATTACCTTTGATGGCGAGGTTCCTCTATTTTCTTTTGTTTTAATTCTAAAAGCAGCATATTTATGAATTGGTGGCAACTGAATAAGTTATGTGTTTCTGTTTTCTCAATTTTTTGTTCCTCTTCAGGTCAACAGAGTGTATTTGGACACCCCAACTAAGATAGCCATGATAGACCATGAGAAGAAGAGAACGTTTGTTCTGCGGAAGGATGGCATGCCAGATGCAGGTTCTTATGATCTTTGATTATTGTTATAAATTATTACTTTTCCGTTTTGTTTAAATGATAGTTTCTCACTTTTATGCTGGAAAATCGTGTGATTTGCAGTTGTCTGGAACCCTTGGGACAAAAAGACCAAGACTGTCCCTGATTTGGGGGTTGAGGACTACAAAACCATGTTATGTGTAGATTCTGCAGCCATCGAAACCCCAATTGTATTGAAGCCTTTCGAAGAGTGGAAAGGCCGTCAAGAACTCTCTACTGTTTCATCAAGCTATTGCAGTGGGCAGTTGGATCCTCGCAAGGTGCTTCATGGCTTTCACTAACCAATTATGTGGAGTAAATGGAGGTCTTATTGTAATTTATGTAAGTTGCCTTATTTCATGGACCAGAAACATCCTCTTGGTTTGTTCATGTATTATCCTTGTTGATGTACTTTAGGTTTTCTTGGAGCAAGACAGAACTAGCTGCATGTAAAATGTGAGAATATCATTGCAGGGTATCATTGTCACAAATTGGCAACAGGGATTTTTTCCTTTATGTTGCCGCTGGCGGTTAAAGAATATGTGATTTGTATTAAAATGTTGCCAAGTGAATGAGATTCGTGGTGCCGTAGTTTCTTTTTATTTCATTTATCTTTATTTTCCTCTCCAGGAACCATAAACAAAAACAAGAGGAATATGAACTCAAAACACTTTAGTTCTATGAAAGAAACAAGAATACATTCTCTTTGCTTCCCTTATTGAGTAATTTCTCAGTCACTAGGTGGTAGACTTCTATATGTTTTTTGTGCTTAGAAGAGTGAAGGCAGGGACATTCCGAACTTCTCCTTGGTATCCTTGTCCAAGGGATCGTCTCGCAGATACATGTTCACATAGGCCCTGCACAAGAGTTCACTCTCAACCTTGCTGACCACCTCACCAATCACTGCACCCAAAAGCACGCAGCTTTTTGTTAATGTTGTGTTCATCTCAAGTGTGTAGATAACAATTTTAATACATATCAGTGTCTTTGAATTATCACCTTTGGTTTGGAGAATGTTTCCCAGAAGCCGAGAAATCTTAATCACAGAACCAGAGGTTAGCTTAATGTCATCTGATGCTTGTCCCATTACCCTATGAGCAACGGATTAAAACAGAGTTTGAGATAGCATTTACTGGTACCTGAGTAGTGGAAATGTAAATGTAGTGATAAGTAAGGGTTGGTACTATACTTATTTGCGAGTGCCTCCTTCTTCTTGCCACCAGTAAGTTTCTTGATTGATGCTCCAAGACCTTCATCAAAATTCTTTCTTACCATGTTCATGGTGAGGCTGGAAAATACGATCACTAACCTGACCATCATCTCAGCATCACTGTCAATCACCAACTGATACATTTCCTTTGTGGGTTTTGCTGGGGCCTTCCCAATTTTCAACTTGAGAAGTTCTCTCAGCTTCTCATTGTCTGCATAAATCCCTGCAAATTGGAGAATGGAAATGGAGAGTAAATTTTGAATTGGAGCTATGTAAGTCTTTGAATTAAGAAATTATACCGAATCCATAATTCTTGATGCCCATGCCAAGCATGGATTTCTTCCTCAGACCAACACAACTCAACTGTTTCCCATCATCCAGTTTAAATGGAAAGGAGACCCCAGTCTTCGGGTTCAATATCAACTGCCACCTCCTCCTCCTGTCCGGTTGCTACCTAGCTCACACTGTTGGGCTCTTCAACAGCCCTCCCGCCATTCTCACACTTGCCGTTATCCTTCACGATGGACTCACCGTTGGAGGAGATGGATTCAGTGCCATTTACCTTGTCTATTTTAGGTTCAGTCTCAACCATCTCAGCCTTGGCAGTGACATCCTCAAGACCAACAATAGCTGCCATTCTTCAACTGAATGAGTTGTACCTTGCACAAGAAGGAAACTAAGAAGAGAGGGAGTTTCTTGGTTTGCAAATTTGTAGTGAATGTAGTCAGTACTCAGTAGGGCTGGCTTTATATAGCAAGTAACTGATAGTGTTGGGAAATCCCTCCTTAATGGAGGAAGGCTCATTGTTGGTAATTCTTAAATCGTCATGGGAAAAATTTATTGCAGGTGGTTGTTTGCTGGCAAGTGTATTTTGGTTCTTCTGGGCGTGTTTTTAATTTCAGTCGGCTCAAATGAGCAAGGCTCATGCATATAAAGAGCTGTTTTGGCTTATTTTGAGGTAATGAAGAATTGTTCCTCCATCAGATTGAGCCTTTGCAGCTGCTGTTTTGGCATAGCAGAACTACGTTAAATTTGTCTGTCTTTCATGATCTGCTTGTTTACTTATTGCTAATTGCTTGATCTTTTATTTTCTGCGCTTCCATTCCCATGTCCCAACAATTTTTATTTTTTTATTTTTAAAAGGCATTGAATTTTGGTTCTATATCTCATTGTCTTGCGTTGGTTTTAACAACAGATGAATTGGACCAATCAGTCAACGTTTAACCATGGAGGCTGGAACTTCCATTTTGAATTGTCTCCTTTACAATTCTTCTCTCGCGCACCCCCAAGAATTTGCAATGATCCAATTATTGATACTTATTTTGACACGTGGGCTAATCGTATAGCTGTGCGGCTATAAGCCTTTTTTTCTTTTTAAAAAAAAGTTGTACCGCCGGCCGGCTATACTCGGTTTCATTAATGATTCAAACAATAATTTAGCCGAGCGGCTATACTTATTTTGACACGTGGCCCGTATTGGCTAGGCAGGTCCCCCTTTTTTTAAATAGTATAGCCGTGCGGCGATATTCGTTTTTTATTCTGTGGTATAGCCGCTCGGCTATAATGGCCGCCCAAATGCTGTGATTTTTTTAAATACAGCCGCGCGGCTATACTCGGGTTTCCCTATTTTTTAAATAGTATAGCCGCCGGCTATACTCGGTTTTATCAATGATTCCAAAAAATTGTATAGCCACCCGGCTATTCTTATTTTGACACGTGGGCACCTTATCTCTAGGCGAGTCCTTTTTTTAAAATATAAATAGTATAGCCGCTCGGCTACACTCAGGTTTTTTCTTTCTACCACCGTGGGATTGGCTGGATGAGATCGATGGAGAATCCGAACTAGGCGACTTTGACCATGGATAGAGGATTCCATCATGAAGCTGCTGAAATCCCAAAGACAACATCCCAGGTTACGAAACCATCGAGCCCCAAAAACCATACTGCAAACTTCCAGAGGAAGAACATGGAAATCAGCCTGAATTAGTAGTCTTGTAGAGTAACCAGCAACCCTGAGAACCGTCTTGTGCAAGTGAGCTTAGTTTCATTAGCCACCATGAGCTCAGAACAATCTTCCTCAAGTGTATGGCAAAAGAGTCTACGTAAAGTTATGAGTGCTGGCCAAATTGATCACCACTGTAACTGGATTTATTTGATTTTTAATAACAAGGGCCATAGTTTTGTGGCATCATAAATCCAGTGAGGGTGTGCAAAGAGACTTCCAATTGTTCTGCATCTTCAGGTTCCTCATGTATTTTCACTGAATTTCCATACACTCGTTATGAATTGATCACAGAATTGTAATTGATATCGGACAAAAGTCATTTTGCACCATAAACCTCTCCAATCATAATAACAATGCCATATCATTCTCATTGGTCGTGGTTTAGAAGCAGATGTGGGTCAAGGAGTTCAGGTGTAAAGAAAGTAACTGGGCAATAGTGGTGACCTCAAAACAGAAAAAAAGAAAAGAAAAAAAACTAGTATAATACCTGCAAAGAGCTTTCATTTCATCCTTCCACCCACATTCTATTAGCCTTTCCCTCAGAAGCTCCAGTAATCTCTCTCAATCAACTGAAAATTCAACCAACAACCGGAAAACGCTAAGCTAACTAAGCAAACAAAGGAGAAAGGTATAATCTCAGACTTTCAGTAAAAAAGATGGAAAAAAACAAACCTCGATGTTTATAAGCTCTTGAAGAGTGGGCTCTTTTCCTTGATTCTCCATAACATCCGGCGTCGGCGGACGATTCACCGATTTCCTCCTTTTTTTTTTTAAGAACAAAAAAAATGAGGAAATTCATTAAATTCTATTAAAAATCCAGTCCTTTAACACACTATGCAAAAGAAAACATCCAAAGAACATAGCTGACTGTTGTAAACCTTAACATAATATTCATTAAATTAGTTAGCTTAGGTTAGGTTAGGGAACTAACATGGGTTTATCAATGTAAACAAAACCCAAGCTAGCTTAGGTTAGGGAACTAACATGGCTGTATCTATCACGGACCCAGAAATCTACGACTTTGTTCGAACACTCTGCGACTTGAAGAGGAAAGTAGATTGATCATGAAGATCAATTGATGATCATGAAACTGGTTGAGCACTATAATTAAACGACGTCGTCTCCGGTGGTGAAACGGAGTAGGTTAAATTGGGCAGCTTCAGCCCACTTTTTTTTTTTTGGACTGTAAGGTCCAACCAGATGGATTGGTTTGGGCCGATATATTTGCTCTTTTTGGGCCTTATGAGTTATTGTCCTCTTTGCCCCTACCCGCTACGAAAAAATACCAACTCCGGTCAACTGAAAGCAAAATGGCGCCAAACGGTCACCTATTAAGAAAGGCTGTGGACACAAACGTACAAACGCTTGAGGGCTGGAGGACGCATGTTCAGTCAAATTACACCTAATAAGCAGAAAATGGAGTTTAGGCTTTAATATTATACGCCTCTACTGTTACTCAGTTCAGAGGCTCTGTGTGCTTCCATGGCTTCCGTGTGCCTGACGCAGAACCCTAATTCTATCAGTTTTAGCTCCATAGCTTCCGATCATTTGAGGTTTGGTTCACCTACTTTTGAATTCGGCTCCGTCAAGAAGTATCGGAGAGATAGAGCTGTCTTCTGCAGAGCTTCCTCGGTTGTCTTTCGCAACCTCGATGCCGATGACTTTCGGCACCCTCTCGATAAACAGGTGTGATTAGTTGTTTACTCTGTGAGGAATAATATTTTGTATGGTTAGTGGCGTTTGTTTCTCTAGAGAAATAAGAAAATACTGTGAAAACAAAAGCCACAGCTTAACAGCCTAAGTCAGTTGATTCAAGTCCTTATTGACTCACTCTCAGTTTTCCTCTACAGAAAGTAGAAATGTTAACTATGCATAATTCTTGCTGTTGCTAATTAATTTGTATTTGGACTAGCTATTTGGCAGTGTTCGAAAAATCGGCCTAGGCGCTAGGCGGCGTCCCCTTTTTTTTTTTTTTTTTTCTCTCTCTTCTTCCTGACTTTAAAGAAAACCACGCTGCCTCTTTTCTCCTCTGAGAGTGACGAGGATATTGAGTTTTGAGTTCGATACCGAGAGAGTCTTGGAGGGATACCCTAGGCGGCGTCCTTCTTTGTTTTTTTTTTTTTCCCTGACTTTAAAGAAAACCATGCTGCCTCTCTCTCCTCTGAGAGTGACGAAGATATTGAGTTTTGAGTCCGATACCGAGAGAGTCTTGGAGGGATATGTAGACTGACAGGCTTCGCCTTTCATTTCAAGTATTTTGCGGCGTCCCCTTTTTTTTTCTTTTTTTTTTTTCCTCTCTTCTTACTGACTTTAAAGAAAACCAGGCTGCCTCTTTCTCCTCTGAGAGTGACGAGGATATTGAGTTTTGAGTCCGATACCGAGAGAGTCTTGGAGGGATACCCCTGGGGGCGTCCTTTTTTTTTTTTTTTTTTTCCCCGACTTTAAAGAAAACCATGCTGCCTCTCTCTCCTCTGAGAGTGACGAGGATATTGAGTTTTGAGTCCGATACCGAGAGAGTCTTGGAGGGATATGTAGACTGAAAGGCTTCGCCTTTCCTTTCAAGTATTTTTCTTTGGCAGTGTTCGAAAAATCGGCCTATAGGCGGCGTCCTTTTTTTTTTAAATATTTTTTTTTCCCTGACTTTAAAGAAAACCATGCTGCCTCTCTCTCCTCTGAGAGTGAGGAGGATGTTGATTTTGAGTCCGATACCGAGAGAGTCTTGGAGGGATATGTAGAGGAGGAAGAGTTAGACTGAGAGGCTTAGCTTTGTAGTACTATTATATGCTTTATGCTTAACTTTTTTCCCATGTTTTTTTTATTATCAATTATGGTACTTTATAATTTATATATCCTTTTATTTTGCATGATTTTGGTATAAATTTGTAATTTATAATACAAAATAATTATATAAAAAAATCGCCTAGCGATTTTTCGAACATTGCTATTTGGTAATATTTCTTCTATGCACGTAATGCTTTCTATATGCTTGGATTTTATTTCCTCATCACGCAGAACACGCTGATTTTGAGGGCGATTCCAGGATTGAATGAGCTTGGAAAGATTCTTCTAGGTAATAGGCCTCTAATTTGGTGTACAATTAAACTCAGGATCCGTTGCAGAGTAAGTCATGCTTCTTGAGAATATTGGAACATCCCTTCTTGTTTCTAAAGATCAGGTTAGTTCAGTTTATCATCTCTTGCCAGTGGAAAACTTGTCTTTGGGAAAAGCAAAAAAGAAAAGCTAATTATGCAATAATTTTGTATTATTTTTGTTTTATCAGCTTTCTGGTCTACATCCATTGATGGTTGAGGCCGCGGAAATCCTCAATATTGATGCTCCTGATCTATATGTTCGTCAAAGTCCTGTACCAAATGCATATACTTTAGCAATAAGTGGTAAAAAGCCATTTGTTGTTGTTCATACTAGCCTTGTGGAGCTTTTGACTCGAGAAGAGTTACAGGTGATCAATTTTCTCTTTGATGTTGATTGCTCACCCCGTATTTTGTATTTTCATCCTTACTTTCTCTCAGTTCTCAGTCAAGTTTTTCTGCTGATGTTTTTGTATTTTCGAAGTTGGCTTTGATGTTCATTCATAAATTAGTTTCATATCTGTTTCTCTCTGGGTTTTTTCCCTGCAGACAGCATACGTATATAATAATTGGACACGAGTGTGTGCTTAAATACATGCATTATCTAGGGTCGGTAATAAGATTGGAATATTACCACATTCTATCTGTCTATCTGTTCGCGCGTAAACACTCAATACACACACTGTATGTAACCCACACTTGTGCATGTGTTTTTGTGTGTGTGCATGCGCACGGGGGGAGGGTAGTAGGTGCGAATCATGTGCTTGTTAGATCTTGTAGGAGTACTGTCTAATATCCGCTGTTTAACTTGAAATTAGGCTGTTTTGGCTCATGAGTTGGGTCATCTCAAATGCGACCACGGTGTATGGCTGACATTTGCAAATATTCTTACCCTTGGAGCTTATACCATACCTGATAAGGTGCCTGATACTTTTATCCTTAGTTAAGGTAATTTGATTACTTTTGTTGTATTTGATTGTGTTAATTGAGCGCCATTTGCCTTTATTGTCATAGTCATAGTTGATCCATAATAATTTGCATCCCCCAAGAGTCTTCCTGAAGAGATGCATAGGTATTGTTTTGAATACTTGTGTTATTCATAGGGCTTGGTGGGATGATTGCTCAGAGTTTAGAAGAACAGTTATTTCGTTGGCTTCGAGCAGCAGAGCTAACTTGTGATCGTGCAGCCCTTCTTGTTGCACAAGACCCAAAGGTGTACAACCTCATGTAGTGCCCACAAGAGGTGGTCATCTCTGTTCTAATGAAATTAGCTGGGGGCTGCCCTTCTCTGGCTGATCAACTAAATGTGGATGCATTTTTGGAACAAGCTTGCTCCTGTGACAAAGCTTCGTCAAGCGCAGTAGGGTGGTATATAAGGTACGTGGCAGCATACGTATAACACCCTTTGTTTGGTTATGCACATCCTAGGGTTGCCTGTTTTAACTCACGCTATCCAGAAATGCTCAAACGAGGCAACTTTCACATCCTCTGCCCGTTTTACGTGCTCGTGAAATTGATGAATGGTCAAGAAGTCAAGACTACACAACTCTTCTGAAACATGCAACACAAATCACTGGTGCAAAGAAAGTTTTAACAACACCAGATAGTCAAAATCCAAAGCACTGTGAAAAGGTATCACCTCCTTTCTATGTTTCATTTATAAGTGTACTTTCGAAGATGTAGTCTCACAGAATTATACTCTTTTTATTGCGTATAATTTTTCCTTAGGAAACCTGTGCTTATTTTACACAGAAGAAAAATCATTGCTCTTTATCCACGGTCTTATGGAACAAAGAATAGGCTTGACTGATTGACTTCCCGGTCTCTGTTAGCAACTATCCTACCCATTCATGATGGGTAGGATAGTTGCTCCTTCTGTAAGTCTAAATAGATATAACATGTAAAACACTAACTAACCTGTATCAGACATGTTGAACAAGATGAAGGTCAAAACTGAACTTGAGAAACAGAGACTTTCTACTAGAAGCCGAGAACTCTTTCAGCAGTAATTCTTAATGGGGTGAATATCTGTATGCTTGTTTTTTTTTTTGTGTGTCTCGGCTCTAGAAGGAGCCTCCTGTTTATATGCATATCTCTAGTAGTTTTGCCCATCAAGAAACTCCTAGAGATAACCTCAATGCTTATAGGATTAGGTAATCTTAATCCTTGAAGTAGGAATCCTTAAGCCTGTGTATATATCTAGAACACTTACATTAGGCTGCCATATCTGATAGGAATAGACTTTCTGATAAACCATGAGTTCTTAGGAATCCTTATTCGATTAGAAGATCACTTCTGTGGTTTAAGACAGTAAACCATCTTACAGAAGAAACTAAGAAGAGAGGGAGTTTCTTGGTTTGCAAATTTGTAGTGAATGTAGTCAGTACTCAGTAGGGCTGGCTTTATATAGCAAGTAACTGATAGTGTTGGGAAATCCCTCCTTAATGGAGGAAGGCTCATTGTTGGTAATTCTTAAATCGTCATGGGAAAAATTTATTGCAGGTGGTTGTTTGCTGGCAAGTGCACCTTGGTTCTTCTGGGCGTGTTTTTAATTTCAGTCGGCTCAAATGAGTAAGGCTCATGCATATAAAGAGCTGTTTTGGCTTATTTTGAGGTAATGAAGAATTGTTCCTCCATCAGATTGAGCCTTTGCAGCTGCTGTTTTGGCATAGCAGAACTACGTTAAATTTGTCTGTCTTTCATGATCTGCTTGTTTACTTATTGCTAATTGCTTGATCTTTTATTTTCTGCGCTTCCATTCCCATGTCCCAACATTTTTATTTTTTTTATTTTTTAAAGGCATTGAATTTTGGTTCTATATCTCATTGTCTTGCGTTGGTTTTAACAACAGATAAATTGGACCAATCAGTCAACGTTTAACCATGGAGGCTGGAACTTCCATTTTGAATTGTCTCCTTTACAATTCTTCTCTCGCGCACCCCCAAGAATTTGCAATGATCCAATTATTGATACTTATTTT